AATACATACATAAGAGAATGAATACTAGTTTTTGCATCTATTTTTAAATCTTTTCATGAACAAATTATTTTTTGCTTTAAATTTTTTGTTGATACCATGTGTTTTTGGTAATGAAAGGCCTGCTGAAATCAAGAGAACAAAACTTTTTTTGAGATAATTTGGATTTTTATTCAATGTGTGAGATACATATGTCCCAAATGGACTCTAGTGGTAGGATTGATGGAGTGGGGCACATTTCTTCAGATTCACACAGTTATACAAATCCCTGCCAGTCAGTAGCATGTACTACAACTGAGAAAGCAACTTTCCAAGTAAGCTGTTGTGGTGGTGGTGGTGTTATGTGCCGTCGAGTCAGACCCGACTCATAGTGACCCCTCCTTGGGTTTCCAAGGCAGTATCACTACAGAAGTAGATTGCACCATCTTCCTTCCGAGGAGTGGCTGGTGGGTTTGAACCACCAGCCTTCTGATTAGCAGTCAAGAGCCTTAGGCACTACACTACCAGAGCTCCCCAAGTAAGCTGAGAGGGTGAAAATGTTAGTGGGCAATATGTGTTCCACAGATCATGAAAGGGTAAAATATTATAGAAAATGTGTAAAAATAGTCTTTTAGTTTTTTATTATGAAAAAAATTGAAACATACAAAAGTACAGAGAATGCTAAGATGAAATGAGAGTTAATCTTACCTTGTCTTTACCCCCTACTTTTTCCCTTAACATCAAGATTAATTTTATCATACAATATTTATTTTTCTGTGATTGACTTATTTCACTCAGCATAATGTCCTCCAGATTTGTCCACGTTGTGAGATAATTCACGTATTCTTCATTGTTCTTTAATGTAGCATAGTATTCCATCGTGTGAATGTACCATGAGCCCATCACTGTAAAAAGTCAAGGAAGGGTTTGCTTAAGGAAGGGAAATGACTTTGTAGGTTACCAGGTTTGGGAGGGAGGAGAAGGGGAAAATTTCAGACTAGTTGTGGGCCACACACTGAGTTGGGTAAGGGGAGGGATTGTATAGAAAGCTTCTGTAACCAGCATGATAACACTGGGGAAAGGAAGGACACCAAATTGTGCCCATAAGATATAGACGACAGAGGCTAATATCAGTATATGCACAATACTGCATTACCACTAACACCAGACACCAGGCTACAGATAAATGCATAGACAACTGAGAAAATCAGATGGGGGTTGGCAAACAAGAATATGCCTTAGACCGATGATAGGTTTAGCTGAAGATAATCTTGCACAGATACTAGTGATACAAAATAACCATAATCATTACAGAAGGAACAGAAGACAGACTTGGATTAGTCCCTCAGAGACAGCCAAAAACCTTGGGAGAGAGAACCACCAGGTCTGCCAACTCAGGACCATAGTACTGGGGGACACCAGGCTCAATTTGCACAATATAATACATAAAATTCTTGTTCCAAAAACTTATTTTGGTGAGTAGCAACTGAGGTCTTAAAAGCTTTTGAGTGGCCATCTAAGATGTAGCTAATGGTATCCTCTCGTCAGAAGCGAAGAAGAGGGAAGAAAACTAAGGGCATTTGGAAACAATCAGTCCTAGGATATGATGGTGCCTAGAAGAACTAGAACTAGATGGTGCCCAGCTACCAATGCCAACCACTCAGGAAGGGATCAAAACTGGAGATCCTGGATAGAGTGGGAGAAAAAATGTGGAACAAAATTCAAAAACACAATAATGACCAGAATTACTGGTCAGATGGAGTCTGGTGGGACCCTCAAGACTATAGCCCTGGGACACACTTCAGCCTGGGATAGGACTCACTCCCAGAGACTGGCTCTCAGCCCACAATAGAAAGACTTAGATGCAGAACACCCAACCCAGAGCAATGCACCCACCTACTCTACGGAGATACACTCCTTGGAGCAATTGGCCATGGGGCACTAGAGGGGCAGCATTCATATGCAGGGAAGTTGGACAGACAGGCATGCATAACTAAGAAGGCCACAGGGATGGGGGGGCTCACAGGGAAGGGAGAGGAGGAAAGTGGGTTAGGGTTGGGCATGGTAATCGGGGAGTGAAACCAAATGCACATGAACTATTGAATGTAAAACAAATTCTGCTCTGTAAATTTGCACCCAAAGCACAAAAGAAGATCAATTTTATCAAAACAAATGTCATGTAATATAATACACAGGACTGTAGACATAGTACACTAGAACTAACAGCCTTAGGGGCTGTTTGCAATGATAACCCAGGTTCAGAATGCTAAATGTCTCAGTTGTGAGTCTAATTTATAATTTTATAATAGCCTATAGTTATTAGAATACCCACATAGTTATTAGTATACCCAGATTCAGTATAGATGTCATGACCTCATTTCCGAATATGTCATTTCCAGATATGCCATGGCAAAACGAAATTTCTTCTTTAACCCCTGGACCATAGCTGAGGGCTAAGACAACCCTTTTTATTTTTTTTAACAGCTTTTCTATTTGCATCCTGGGCACACAAATGCAGATACTCATCCTGATCTTTAGCATCATCATTATCATTAAATGTATCTCTTACAACAGATAGGATAAATGTTATAAAAATGAATTTAAATAAATGCACACTAATTCTATAATGTATTGAAAGGTGGAAGAATTGTTTTTGTTTTGCCAAGGTGAGGTACCAAAGTATTGCAGTTTTTTCATATTATTTAAAAAAAAACAAAAACTCCACTGTGGTGAAATAACTCAATTTTGATGTAAAAGTCTTGTTTTGTTTTCTTTATTTAAGATTATTATTTAAAGTGTTTTACTCTGGTAGTGATTCATTTACAAGGACTTTAAAAAATCTTTGAACCATCTCCCTGAAGGAGACTATAAAAGTCTAGAGTGTACTAAACCTTGCTTAACATCCATTTTACCTGAAGTGATGTGTGTTATATAAAAATGTCAGGAGATGGGATAGATCTTCTCAACATAAAAAAGGCAAATAAATCAAGAATTCAAGGGAAAAAGAAGTCTCAGAGTATGCTGAGGCAAAATTCCACCTTTTCTCTCAGGTTTCTGCAGCTTAAGGGGACATTGCAAGAGAAAAGCAAGCAGGAGAGGACAGAGAAGTGTCCTAAAAGATAATGAGCTGGGGGGAGGGAGAAACCTGAAGATTTTAAGCAGAGTAGTAAAGTATTTGAAAAAAAGAAGATGGCTGTGATGATAAAGGAGGGCACCATAGTGTCAAAATAGTCCCAGGAGACATTATAACTCCAGATAAATTACAACAACCAAATGCAACGCACTGCCATCGAGTCAGATCCGACTCATAGTGACCCCTCCTTGGGTTTCCGAGGCGGTATCAGTACTGCCCAATCTAGAAGTAGATTGCCCAACCTTCCTTCCAAGGAGTGGCTGGTGGGTTTGGACCACCAGCCTTCTGGTTAGCAGTCAAATGCCTTAGGCACTATGCCACCAAATTACAGCAAAAGTTAAGTGCCTGTGACTATAACAATTAAAATTCAGTCAGTGTTAGTTCAATTAATCTTAAAATATTTGCATATTTATGAAAAAGATACCAAACTGTATTATGTTGTTGTTGTTGTTGTTTGCCATCGAGTCGGCCCCGACTCATAGCGACCCCTACTTGGGTTTCCGAGGCAGTATCACTACGGAAGTAGGAATGCCCAACCTTCCTTCCGAGGAGTGGCTGGTGGGTTTGAACTGCCAGCCTTCTGGTTAGCAGTCAAGTGCCTTAGGCACTATGCTACCAGAGCTCCTAACTGTATTATAGCTGAGAGTATATGTCTTTGAAATTTAAGTACAATATCAGTATCACCCTCCTCTTCTCTTCCCCCCTCCTATAATATATACAAATCTGAAGAATTGCTGGTTGTGTTATTGAAAACATCTATTTCTGAAGAATAGAGGACTGAAGAAAAGTGTTTTCATCTCTTTATGTGTTATTTGCACTTCCAGGGTGCCTGACTATTTAGAGCATGAGATTATAAGCCAGGACACCATCACTCAACAGATTGTCCTAATTAAGAGCAAAATGAGTAAGAAAACAACATAACATGTTAAATTTCTAAACTTAAATTTACAAAGTTACTAAAATGACATACCAAAACCAAACGTACTGCCAATGAGTCGGATCTGACTCATAGCGACCCCTCCTTGGGTTTCTGAAGCAGTATCACTACGGAAGAAGATTGCCCAACCTTCCTTCCGAGGAATGGCTGGTGGGTTTGAACTGCTAGCCTTCTGGTTAGCAGTCAAATGCCTTAGGCACTACGCCACTAGAGCTCCTTAAAGTGATATAGCATCTATATAGATAAGAGTGTAGAAAGGTCATATATGCCCAAGAGTTCAGGGAAGCCAAAGAATGTGTCACCCAACGCGGCAGGTGAGTTCCACCTTTAGCTATATAGCCCTGCTAAGCCTCTTTTGGGAGCTCTGGTAGCATAGTGGCTAAGACCCTTGCCTGCTAACCAGACGGCTGGCGGTTCAAACCCACCAGCCACTCCTCGGAAGGAAGGTTGG